TTTATTTTTTAAAATATTTGGAAACATTCAGAGTAAAAAGTCAAATTAAAAACAAAACCAAAATACACAGAGATCCATGGCATGAAAGGAGGGACTGTGGTCCTCTTTGCATTGGAGATGAAGGTTTAGGTGACCGGGGTTTCATTTTGCTGATGAACCAGGTCCAGTTAATTACTACGTTTACCACTATTCATTGATCCATTGCAATGCAATTAATAAATTGATCTACTGGCTTAAAGTTAGGAAAAAGGTTCAAATTTATTTATTAAAAAATTAATTTTACTCTAATTTGTTGTCTTATGCTTTATGTGCATGTATAGAAAGATACAAATTCAGTTCAAGGTGATTAACTGAACAAATTTAGAATTTAAGAGTGATCATGAGCTTTTACGTGTATAATACAGTGTTGTTGACTGTAGGTACAACATTGCACAGCAGATCTCTAGAACATATTCACCTTAACTGAAATCTTATGCCTGTTGACTAATAATTTAAAGAGAGTAAATCTCATGTTAAGTGCTCCTACCACAATAAAATAAAATATTAAAAATACAAAATAATGCACATCACTAAATGGGTGAACATTTCTCTGAAGGCCTCTTGACTTGTGTTTAGCTGACCAGCTGTCACAGGAAACCTGAGGACTAGAAACCCAGGAGAGGAGTGAAAATCTTAGGATGTGAGCTTCTCTGGGTGTAATCCAAGCTGGATCTTTTAAGCAGAGAACTTTAGCGGTAATATAGGGAAAGCTTTGCCGATGAGCAGGCAATTGAATTTTATATTTTCTTAGCAAAGGAAAGAATTCAGGAAATAGAGTGATTCACTATCCTAAATATTTGTGCAATTTCTGGTACTAGTTAGCCATGCAAGTAGCAGCTAACTTTGATCCTGCCTGAGTCAGGTAACAAGGCCAAATTGTAATAATGATCAACTTCTATTAAGGTTTATGATGTGTCAGGTATAGGCAAAGCATTTTTCCATGCATTATTTTATTTAATCTTTCCTGACAAACCCATACAATAGGTAATATTATAATTTCCTTCTATAGGAATGAAAGCTGAGCCTTAGGTACACTAAGTAATTATCCAAAATCACAGCACCAGAATCCACACCATGGCATTCTGATTCTAGAACCCAGGCACCTAACCACTGGAAAAGTTCATAGCCTCTTGACAGTCATACCATTCATTTAATACAACTCCAAATTTTGGTGTGGCTTCCCTTTAGTTGTTCTGTCTTCTAGAGCCTCTCATACAACCTTAATGCTGCTTTCAAATCCTGGTCCCCATTCCTTTTACAATCCTATTCTGCTCTGTGGTTTACTTTCTCTTGGATTTATTTGCTGTTCTATCTAGCACCTGCACTCACATCAACAAGGCTAGAATTGCTTCTGAATTCCTGGACTCCTTTGAACCTTGAAAATGTTCACTTTACCAATTCCCAACACCATGCATATCTATGGTGGACTGAATTGTGTCTGCCACCCCTCAAATTAATACACTGAAGCCCTAACACCTAGTGTTACCATATACGAAGGTAGGATCTTTAGGAGCTAAATTGAAATGAGGTTCTAAAGGTGGGAACATGATCTGCTAAACTGGGGCCTTATACAAAGAGGAAGAGAGATTGGTTCAAGATGGCAGAGTAGAAGGACATGAACTCATCTCCTCTGCGAGAGCAAAAAAATTGCAATTAGCTGTTTAACAATCATTGACAGGAGGACACTGGAAACCCACCAAAAAAAAAAAAGATACCCATGTCCAAAAACAAAGGAGAAGCCACAACAAGATGGTAGGAGGGGCACAATCAAAAAGAAGCGATCTCTTCTCTCTTTCTTGCACATGCTCATAAGAACAGTCACATGGGGACAGAAAGAGAAGGTGGCCATCTATAAGCCAGGAAGAGAGCCCTCACCAGAAAACAAACCCTGCTGGATCTCGATCTGGGACTTCAGTCTGCAGAACTGTGGGAAATAAACTTATGTTGTTAAGCCACCTAGCCTATGGCATTTTGTTATGGCACCCTAAGTAGACAATACAACATCTTATTACCTCTTCCTTAGCTCCAACTGCTCTGAAAAAAAAAAAAGCTGACATTGAATTATTTCTTTACAGCTACCATTATGTAAGTGAAAGAGCTCTAAATTTGGAACTGCAAGACTGGATTTTAAGCCATGAAATAAAAAGAAATGTTGTAAAATATAAAGTATTACTATTGATGCCAGATGAAGTCAGCCAACCTCTTCCTGACACTTTTCATTAGCTGCCTTCTGGACAGACAGCCAACAGACTTCTGCCTTGTGCTCACAGCCTCATTATTAGTCACATAACTTTGCCTTCAGCTTACCTAGCATATTGAGGCTTTGACTATAGCTGTCACAACTTCTGTCAGTTTCACTGCAATATGTCCCTGATTCCTTTTCCTCCTTTATTGATATATCAGAAAAACAATTCACCCCCTCTCTGTTCATAGCAATACTTCTATCCAGAAACTTGATCACTCCAATAATCTTATATCTTCTTTGAGAGAGTATCAGTATTGCCAGTCTCTTCACTAAATCACTACCCCTTGACCTTGAGAACCATTCAAGACATTCTCCTGTCTCTCTCTTCCTGTCATTGACAAATTCTCAAAACCTTCAGAGCCATGTCTTCCAATAGTGTAATTTATACAGTCTGTTACCTATCTAAATTATTATTTTGACCCTACTGGCTCCTAGTTCAATATGTTTTTTTTGGAATAGCATGTAGCCCTGTTCTCTGCCTATCAATTTTTGCAAAGGTTTACCTAATACATCAACTCGTCTATTAAAACTTACCTTAAGTAATTTCTTCTGAACTCTCAAAGAACTTAGTTTGCACTATTTTGTTTGACAGCTTGTTTGAGCAACCCTATAAACTTATTAATGCTCTCAGTTTAAGACACAGTAATCATTTAATAATGCTTAATGAATACATTACTAATCAAGCTGATCTCAAACAGCATCAGAATTTCAATTCAACTGGACAAAACAGAGGCTTTTAGAAAAAAATCCAACTTCAATTTGAATATTAGTGAATAGATCTATACAAGAGATAAAAAGGCTTAAATTTCTCATTTCCATTTTCTGCTTTCATTGAAACAAAACCAATAGTAGATTGACTAGCACATAGTGTTCAGTAAATGTTAGTTGAATTATCAAAACAGTAAATGCTTAAAGTGGTTCTAGGATTACACTGAATAGTAACATTTAGAAAGTTTATGGACAGAAAGTTAATAGAGAATTTTGAAGGTGTGTCTGTGGCAATAAAAACTCCATGATTTGGGGAGCTTAGAAGACTGTCCTTTGAAGGAAAAAATAGTTTACCATTTAAAACTATGGTGCTTCTACTGAAGGAGTTGATTGAAGTAAAGAGTTTTATAGGGATATACACATTTCTGGTGGAAAACTCAAGGAGAGCTCAAAGAATCAATATATCAGTGTGATTTCAACTGTAAGAGGGATAAAAACAATTATGATATTAGGTAATGAAATAAAATGATTGTTCCAGGGCTCTCGTATATGAATATTCTGTGGACTTTTAGGAAGAATTTTTAATTTTTTTTCCCTGGGATAATAGCAAGTGATTGATAAGACAATTTAGCCATTACTGTTTGAGGGCTATGGGCCAGCCACTGTGCTTATAACCAGGCACTTATATACAAGTGAGCTCATTTAATTATAGAACAATACTAAAAGGAAGGTGGTATCATTCCAGTTTCATGGATGAAGTTAAAGTCACTGCACCCTTTACTCAAGGTCTGACAACTGATAAAGGACAGACCCACGATTCACAGCCACGATTTATGAACTAAGCTTTTCTGATTCCAAAGCCCACGGCCAAAGTTAAAAACACTGGAAAGAGATGGTATAGTCTCAATACTTCCTCATGGAGACAATGAAAAAGTACTTCTGTTCATGGACATTAACCAAAGTATCTAAGCAAATGCCACTTAGATCTTGATAACTCTACTATACTAACCATCATCTGGAAATTTCTCTGGCAAGTTTAACATTTTATTAAATCTATACTTCCTCTGCTTACCCCAACTTCTGGTCAAGTTGACTACTTTATGTAAATTATCAGAGACAGGAATAAAAACAGGAACTTTTCATAGTTGGATATCATTAAGCCTCATTACCTATTTCCTTGATAGTCGATAATATAACCATTCCACCAATGAAATCTAAAGGAACAGGGTTAATCATGTTTGTTTTTAATTCTAACTCCTTAAAAACTGGTAAACAAAATATGGCTATAGTTCAGGTATTTAGTTAACCCATGTTTCTAGATCACGATAAAAAATGTAGAGTATCATGGATTATCCAATTGGCAAAGTAAGCATGCACATAAGGAACCAGCATATCAAGGACACCTGAGATATGACAAAGGTTCCAGCTCTCATGAATGTTACAGAATTTTGTAATCTGAAAATCTAGAAAGAAGCTGTTAAAATTTAAGCACTCACTTAAATTTTGACTTCAGATTTAGTATTTTTCTAAAAAATTTCAATATGGCAGAAGGCTTGGAAAGAAGCCACCTAACACTTTCCAGTGCTTCTGGAAAACTGTTGAAAGTTACTTACAGCAAATACTTAAAAAAAGTTACCAAACACTTTAAAAAATATAGTATCTAATAATTTTTTTCCAGAATAAAATGCTTCTGTAGTCTTACCTGTTCAGGAAAGTTTTTCCTTTCTAGTTACCTTATCTAAGTAATAATGTAATAACAATCATTATGTAAATAATAATAATCTAAATAATAATGCCTCATTTGACAGACAATAACTGCTTAGCCCACAAATATATCATTTTTGATAACTTTAAGTAAGCAATCATTTAAAGTAGCTGCTTGTAATATTTTATTTCACATGAACATGGTCCTAACTTACTGAACTTCTAATATGATGATCTTATTTAGCCCCAGTCCAAGATCTTTTAATAAATGTTTGGAAAATAAGAATGCATAATCATACAAGGATTGGGAAGAACATTTTATTGCTAAGCATATCCTTGAACGAAAATGCAAATATGAAATAAAAGAGAAAAGGAAAAAAAAAAAAGCAGTAACTTCACAACATCATAAAATAAATTTAAGAGTTTGCTCATAAAACAACAGGAATATGATAGAAGCTCACATACAGAATGCACATGTTCCCATAAAATTGTCCAAATAGAAACTTACACTAAAAAGAATATAACAAATGTATTTTTACTCAAATTAAAAAAATGTAAAGAAAGAAAGCAGGAAATCAGTTCACAAGACCTCAAGACTCCAAGAACAGCAATCTTTTACAGACACCGAGATATAATCAACTTCATATAGGTTGGGCCATTTAGGTTATCTAAAATCGTGCTCTGATACCTCTTTATAATCCTGTCTTTTCCAATGATAACAAAATAATCCAAAACTCTTAACACATTGAAATATCAGATAATGAGGAACACCTCTTTCCATATACATTTAGTAAAGGCTACCATCATTGAGATTGCATTTTTTGCCCCATGTCTTTAAGATATTTTCTCAAAGTCAAATATTCATGCAACTTACAAAGACCAGCAAGAGTAGATTTCTAAATCTAAACAGCTGATGGATTTTCATCTGTACAAAAGAAACTGTATATATCTGACCCTCCAGAGGACGCATTGCCTTTTTATGTAAACACTCATCTTGCTCTGTCTCTTGCTTTTGGGTTAGGCATGGCCACTGAACCAGTTTATTGTTTTACTGTACATTGTTTCCTCTTTTCAGAAAGAAAGAGAACTGGAACAGAAACCAAACAAACCGAAATAAACAAAGGAAAGAACAGTTCTCAAAGCAGTATGTACACAGGTGGCTAAGGAATTATACCAGCAAAAATGTAGTAAAATATGTAAACAAAATCTGAGAAGAGTTTTTTTTTTTATTCTTCTTGACACAGTTAACTGTGACAAAACTAAAACTCACACTTTCTTCACATTTTAAGGTTTACTTTTTTGTTGTTATTTTCTTTGAAAACAACATTCTCATTCCACTTCAAGATTTTAACAGTTTTCCTGTTTCAGTCATCCCATCAAACATACCATGATAAATATATCTGTATATATATTTATTTATATATATTATACTATTAAATTCCATTTTTTTGTGTGTCACAGCAGCTTTATTCATTTGTTATTTATTTATCTTTAGAAAAGATGGGTGAAGGGAGACGTGAGCAAATGGAAGGATAGAGTTATCTGTAAATGTCAGGCTGGAAAATTAAATCACTAGGAAAAACCTTATCATGTTGGGGGCGGGGGAAGAACTATGAGTTTTGCACTCTGTCATGCCGTGTTTGGCTTGTGTGACCTTTTGTGGTTCTATCACAAGTTGAACTCCCCTATTGTCTGTTCTGATTCTTCAACAGACTTCTTGTATCGTCTTTTCTCTTAAATTCACATGCATTTCGATCAGTCACAGATCCGGCCCACCCCCGGCCCCCTTTCCTAGGAAAGGCTCTGTTTTAATTTGTGGGGCTATCTCCTTTACCTCAATTTGGCTGGGCTCATGGACAGGAACAATATTGTTAAGTGAAGCCGATAGCTCTGAGAAAACCAGCCCTAACCACATCTGTTCAGGGTTTGGGTGGCAAATTCTGGAATTTGATCCTGAGGGACCAGCTTTTCCAATCAAAACTATCATCCATCCCATGATTTTGCTATGTGTTCAGCAAAGCATCATATAGAAACAGACAACAGATTCTAGAAACACCACAACCTGATATGTAGGGTGAACACCATGGTAGCTTTTGAGTTCATATGGCAATAGTCTCTCTCACTTTCGTTTTCTGAGATTTTGTTTTTCTTCAACTTATGTCCAATTATTTTCGAAAAATAATCAAATACCCAAAAGCCTTTTTTTTCCCCTCAGATCTTGAAAAGTTACACGCACACTGGCCAGAACCAGATAAGGGTGGGTTTTTGTTGTTTTTTTAACTTTTTTTTTCTTTTCTTTTTTTTGTTTTTGTTTTTTACATAATTAAACAAACAAACAAACCAAAAAAAAAAAAAAAAACATCATTACAGTCAAGCTTCACAAACATTATTACAGACTCACTTGGAGTTATGGAACAAGTAAGCCATGAAGTCTTCTACCTTGGGTGAAAGGTCCTCAAGAGAAGGAAGCTTCCAAGTCTGCGAAAAGTTGGGGGGCCGAGGAGGGGGTGGGGGAAGCCACCTGCTCGCTCCAGCGTGCAAAAGTGTGAGCTGGCTGACACAGCAGGGCAGAAAGAACTTTCTGTCTCCGAGCGGCGACTGCGTCAAAGCAGCCTGTGGCTTGCGCCTGGTCAGTTAGGTGCATCTTGGTGTTGTGTTCGCGACTGGTTTTCCCCACCGGGGTCCCGGTCCATACCGCCCCGTCTCCTAGGACAGTCCGGACCCGGCGGATGCTCAGGTCGCCGAGGACACGCGCGTCTGCGGGCAGAGGGACGACCCGGGCTCGGCTGCGCGCGCCGGCGGCGGCGGCGTGGCGCCTACACGTAGTACTCCTTGTCCTTGTTTTTCTGTTTCTTGTGGCCGCCCTTCGAGCTCGGGGGCTTCTCCTTGAGCAGCGTGCCGTTGCTCTGCGCCGAGTTGCTGATGTAGTTCCGCGTCTCGTCCACCTGGTAGGAGCCCTCGTCCCTGTTCCTGTATTTGTACATGGCGTACAGGAGGATCAAGATGCAGAGGGCGGCTGCAGCCACAATGCCGACGACCATCCCTGTGGTGCTGCTGGACTCGCGGATCACCTCTGAGGCCCCCGGGACCCGTCTGACTCCCGGCTCCGTGGGGTTTGCTGTGGGCACATTACGGAACATGGGGGAAGTAATTAGTGGGCTCTTCAGTTTGGTGCTGTCTAGCTCATAGGCAGTGGGCAACGGAAGCAAGACTAGATCAGGCTGGGGTTTGAGCTCACGGTTATTCATTTTGCCAGCTGGCAATTTGGGCACCATCCCAGACGAGGAGGAAGCTGTGAAGCGGATCAGCTCAGGGGACAAAGATGTGGTAGTAGTCCTACTAGTTTCGGAGGCTTTGTTAGGTCTAAAGTCCTTGGATTCCCACTTGGGCGCATGTGCTTTGTAGCCACCTTCGAAGATTGAAGTGGAAAGACTCTTATCTGTTACCAAGGAGAAGGTGGTGTAAAAATCTTCATCATCAGTAGGGGGCAGGTTAGAGTCAAAGGTTTCCCCTGAGCCATACCCAGATCTCACCAAGCCATCATCATCACAACCATCGCTGCCTTGGTCCGACAAGCAAGGTAACCCCGCCTCAGAGGTCATAGACAGGGAATCTTTGGTGGTCTCAATAATGGTGAGGAGGGGGCGGAAGGTAGGGGGGAGTGTAATGGAAGGTGCACGAGTGGCAATAGGAGGGGTAGCTAAAGGGTCTTCTACAAGAAGAGGGAGAACTAATTCACCTCCTGGGATGGGAAAGAAAAAAGAGAAACAGAATTAGTACATTTGCAGAAAAACAAGTCACAGCCGTGCTCAGTGAATGCAGTTCATAGGTCACATCTCAGAAACGATGAGAGCCTTGGATGCACATCCAGACCCTCTCGACTTGCAGCCCAATTGTTCCAGGCGGATTTAGAGCCCATGGTATGCCTCTTGCCACCAAAACCTGAAGGTCATAGAGTGAGGGCTTAGATGTTTAAAGATACTCTCAAGTAATTATTTAGATAGAATTCAAACAGGCTTTTTTCCAGGATCTGCTTATGGGATGATGACACTTAACTGCACCATTGCAGATACTCACCATCAATTGTGCGTGTGTGTGTGTGTGCATGAACACATGCATGTGATTAATCTGTGAGCATTTCTTTATTTTCTTCTTGGGTTTCTACTTATTTGATCCCATTAGGATGAGAATGACAGATTTCCCATGTCCCTGAGATCAAGATCAAGGAAACAAAAGAGCTCATCTTCAGTATTTTATAAGTTACTACTTTTTATTTCATATTTATCAAGTGTAGTCTTTGTTTACTATAAGCTAACTAAGAGGAACTTACAGAGGTTGAAAATGTTCATACAACAGGCCCATTTTGACTATGCTGTTCCTGAAATTCCTCTGACTATAAAACAACTTGCTTTGTATTGGTCTAATGTTATATTCATACATTGCTTTTATGTTATATGCAATATATGCATATAACATATATGCATATATATGCATATATATATTTTTACTAGATTGTAAAAATACACAGCCTACATATCCATGACTTAATGGAAACTTACTTTTAGATCCTGAAATGTAGAGAGAGCAAAGTGAATTTTTAAGATCAGTGATTCTTATTTAGAGTGGTAGATATTTATCAGTTTACCCACAGACCCTTGTTACTGCCCTTATACCAGGGTCTATTTATAGTGTTATTTTCAAACAGAGGAAGAATCTCAGGAAGTCACAGTTCATGTCTTCTGTTAAATTTATTTAAAAAATTATTCCAACTATTGTTTTTAAAAATCTTCTAGCAGAGATAGCATGATAAGTCCCTGCCCCAGATAACTGCGTTCACCCACGTCAGAAGCTTTCATTCTCTGCCAGAGAAACTGAGTCAGAGAGGTTGGCAACAGTGTACCCGATGCGTATCATATGGAAGGGAAGGCACAAGAGAGCATGACCTACCTAACGATGTTACACATGTGGGGAAATAAAACAAGAACCTTTCTGAGAATCTCAAGATGATATTTTGGCCTATGCTCTAAACCCCAGGCTTCACTTCTAGAGCTCAGAGTTTGCAGCTATTGAGCAACCGATTTTTACACATTTTACAAAGCTTCAGGCTTGCTTTCCTGGGCTAGCAGGCCTATGGTGTTTTTTTTTTTAAACATTGTAAACATATATAATTCATATGTCTTGCAACTTATTTAATGCATAATTTACACACTTTTGCTAGTTTTTCTAAGTGGAATTTAGAATACAGGTCCCCAAAGGTAAGCCAGTCTTACAACTAACCCCGAGGTTTCTCCTTTCGCCCCTATTCTTCCAGCCCTGAGTGTTATATTTAAGATGATGGAAGCAGGCAGTGTTTGAGTGAGGAAAGAGCAGTGAGGACAAAGGAGTGAAGGCTCGTGCAGTCTGCTTACAGATTCCCTTAGGATTGCTCAGAATGATTTTACTTGCCTTTAGAGGACAAGACAGGATTTTTGTACCCATCTCACCTAGAACAAAGGTCTAGCATGGGTGTTCTTTTTTGGCACAAATACGGAGAGTCATTTGCTTTTTAAAGTAAGGAAAAAAGTCAACCCAATATATATTAAGTGGAAAATAAGCTGTGATAAAGGGCAAGGAATGACTGATTTGTTGGGAGGCAAAGTCCTGGGACAGATAATTGAATGCAAAGGCAAATTGTTAAGTAGCATGTGAGTTTCCCTTTAAGTGAGATGAAGATCACTGTTTTCCTGATTACAGAGTGGCATTCATTTGCACTTTTAGTGTACCATCTGTGACACCCAACTGGAGTCTTAACGTTTGCCTGTTTTATCCCCCTGTCTTTTCAATCCTAGCTAAAGCTTCCAGAGTGTCTTTGTTGTTAAAAAAAACCTACAACATCTACACACTGCTCATTCTGCAGTTAAATCACTTCCACTTTCCTTTACGTTTCACTTTTCATTCAACACCCTGAAGTGAGCATCTCTCTTGGAGCAGGAAAAAAAAGTGAAAATCATCCTATTCATGATGGGAAGGAAAGAAGGTCTGGACGTTCACTAATTAATAAAGAGCTTCTAAAAGTTGATGAGGCCCTTTTGTGAAATGATAAAAGCTTATTTCAAAACTAAAATGATGGGTAGGCTGGTGCAGAGTTCTAATAACAGAATCTGTTAAAACTGCTAATCTTCAATTTTCTTGGCCAGGCTGCTATTAATCCTAGTAGTAGTGATAAAAATGATAAAGTATGCCCCTCCTAGGGACTTTTGGGCCTAAAACCTGGTAAGGTTTAATCAATGAAATTGTAGAAACTTCCATAGCTCCCCTCCCCTGACATCTCAAGGAATTGGAAGAATGTCTTTAGTTTAAGAGGGGTGTAGGGGTTGGTGTTTTAAAGGGGAATTAGAGTGAGTACAGGTGGAAATGTTTAGATAACTGTAAACAGGAAAGGTGCTTGGCACAAGTATATGCCATTTTTATATCAAATTTTATATTTAAGATGACTCTAGGGTCCAGAGGGTTCCAAGGGCTCTCATATCATTTGAGATAAAGAGGAGAGGGATGTGTTTCTCCCATCATTAGATCCTTACTAGAAATGACTTTGACTGCAGAAGGCTATTTAAGATTTCACACTTACTTGTGTTAATCCAAAGTGACTATCCTCAGAAATGTTGGAGCAGCTGAAAAAAATTTTTTTTCACTGCCCAAAGACCATAAAGTCAGTGATCTCTCAGATGGCCATGCTTACAAAAGTATTCACAGAAGCAACAAGCTTAAAATCATCAGGAGCTGCTGGCAGAGTATTACAAAACCTGTAATCCATCAAAACTCTCATTTCCTATTCCGTCCCCAGAATTTTTCTTTGGTTTGGAATAAGAACTATCTGTTTTCCTTAAAAGTTAGCATTTTAAATCAGGAATATATACTCTTTTTTGACAGGGTTGTGCTTTTCTTTAAACCAGAGAGATCAGTGGGGATATAAAAGGTCTATTTTAGCCCTGAAGGCTGCCCTGCTTTTCTGCTTTATGAGTGTATTTATAGATATATAATTCATGCGTCTAGGGCTGATATTCAGCAAAAGGGGCTCACTGCCATTGGAAAAGACAGTGTATTAAAAATTTAATAGAACTCTTCTGAACTGTGAGAATGTTGTAGGTGATAGTGATGTGGTGGGTCATCTCAAAACACAAGAAGAGAAGCATAAAGTTTCAATGTGGCTCCGACCTTTGCCTCTCAGGAGATATTTGTGTCTTAGAAGTCACAAATATATGAAAAACCGGTGACACTGAAGAATGAGACTCTGGGAGAAGACACCATGCTCCAAGTCCTTAAACTTATTTTTATCTGTGTTTAGGTTCTTTACCTCATCTCTTACTTGCATTTTTCTAATTCTCTGCTGGGAAACTCATGCACAGTGGGGAGAAGTCATTTTTCCCCACTAAATTAGTTATTGAATTGTATTCATTTAGTCACTTGGCTCTATGGAAGTGTGTGCTTGTAACATCCATATTTGGAAACTTGGAACCGTGAAGCTCTTCTTCAACTATCCTCAGGAAAAATAGTTTATCTGAAATGGATTTGATTCCAAAAGGCTACAGAGTCTATTCTTTTCAAGACATGCCCAGATAAGATGAGCAATAGCCCCTTGATATCATTGCCTGGGTGTGCATGCTAAGTCGCTTCAGTCATGTCCGACTCTTTGCCAACCTACGGACTGTAGCCCACCAGGCTCCTCTATCCATGGGATTCTCCAAGAAAGAATACTGGATTGGACTGCCACGCACTCCTCCAGGGGATCCCCCCGACCCAGGACTCGAACCTGCGTCTCTTACATTTCCTGCATTGGCAGGTGGGTTCTTGACCACTAGCACCATCTGGAAAGTATAAAAGAAGGAACATCTTGTGGAGTTTTTCATCTGCATATTGATTAAGAGTTTTGCCTTTGAAATCACTTAGACGCAGGTTAGCATCACAGTTTTCTGGTTTACTAGCCCTATGAGTTGGTCAAATTTATTAAATTCTCTGTAAAATGGAAATAATAACACAGCTTACCTCAAGTCACCAGTGTAAATAATAATGATTCATGTTAGTGCCGCTTAAAATGCATGTTAAGTATTTAGCACAGAGATGATTGCTATTCCAGTATGCTAGATATTAGTAATATTTCTATTAGGTATTTGGTGCCTATAAACACTGATACTGTTAATTACTTTTTTCTGACCATTTTTAATAGAGTAGTCTCATGCTGAGGTAGAAGTATAATAATATAGGATCTAGATAATTAAGGCTATTTGTAATGCAGTGTTTGAAGAATGATTTATAATAGTCCCAAGAGCTTGTATTTAAAAGAAATGAGTAGCCTTATATCAAATGGATTTAGGCATCTTCAACAAAAACAAAAGGTTTCAATTAGATGAAATACCACTCTATTTAGGAGGTTCTTAGTTTTAAACCTAAACTATCATCCAACATGTCAAACAATATACACTCATAGAAACCAAGGCAGATAAAGCCCACTCACAGATGCTGCTGCATTAGAAACATATCCCTTATCCATGCTTCAGTTTGATATTTTTGCAATAGTAATACCAATACCTAAAATTAGAGTGAAGCAAGTAACTTCTTTATTTAAAAATTCTATAGCCCTTCTTGCTGATCTTATGTTTCCTGAAGTGCATAATTGATCCAAATACCTTTAAGGGCAAGGGGTATTCTCACCGTAGAGTCACACAAAATGGTAATACCTACCGAAAACATTTCCTAAATAAAACTTTAGGTGTGAAAATCATCGTGTTTCTTCTTGAGAGACTCTTACGATCCTTTTAAAGCTTACCTGATTACCTTGAGAGAAATGGCAAATATTAATAGAAAGGGAAAAGGAAAGACAGACAGGAAGGAGGGGAGGTTGGGTGCTTACTGTGTGTGGGTTTCTTTCACCATAGTTAGTTCTATACTTTGGAAGGCAGCGTTATATTATCATAGGACAATACTTAAGATATCTGAGATTCATGATGTCTCTATTCTCAATAAGTCTGATTTTGTAGCTTGCAGTGACGGTGATATTTTAATCCTGGATAAAACAAACTCTACCATAGTCACTTGAGAGTATCTTATTTCCCTGTGCTGAAGGAAAATAAAATCAGGGACTGATTTCCCCAAATGTTTTCCAAGGAGTTAAATTAGGGTGTAATTACCACTAATAACACTTGTAGTTAATTCAATTAATTATCTTCTAGGATACAGGCCTCCCATAGGTTGTATCTAATTTCATATCCCACTGTAGAGACTACCATTACTTTCAAAGCTTTAAAAGTTGGTTCAGGCAAAGAGGTCAGGCTTCCCTTGGATGGTAAGAACAATTTACCTATATTCTTCCACCAAGAGTAGAATTCATATTGATTATTAGGAGCAATTCAGCACAAAACATAACAATGAAAATTAAGCAAATAGACACAAATGAAATAAAATAGTTACTATTATCTTAAAAAATCATATAGTAGAAAATAAAATCAACTTCAGGGCCAAAGTAAGCTAGAGGGAAAGAAAGCAAATAACATCAACATCAAGGCATTCACAATATAAGGAAGGACAGAAAGAAAAATAAAAGCAAATTAAAAAAAATACAGGTTGTTGTAGAGAAAATAAAGAAATCATTTCCATATAGACAAAATAATTTAAAAAAAAGCATACTGTATTAATTTATAGTCAACTTACATCAACAAATTGCCCGCATGTTTTTTGGCATGAAAGAAAAATTTACAAAAGAAAGTTGTGTAAGAATGCTCTTGGACAAATAGAATTGCCACATTCTTGTAACTTGCTTTTTTTGTTGTCATTTCTTTTAAAACTTTTGAGCAAAATGTCTAATTTTCAAATATAATAATTTACAACAGAGGATGATACAGGAGGCAACAACACATACATCCACACCACATAACATGAAAAGAAAAAAAAATCTGCACTTTACCAATTTTTTTTACTTTCAGGGGCTTGGGAGGGCATCAATTTTGAATCTGAAATTATTCTGATTGCAATGATTTAAAAAAAAAACTTTTTTTTTAAAAAAAAACCTTTTTAATTTTATAATTTGCCTTTGAAAAAAATCTATGAATCTAGAGAGTTTTGAATGAATTTCTGCATTAATATAGGTTCTCAGATATATATTGAGTTTAAATCTTTTTGTCTTTTTTTGACAAGTTTTAGAATTTCTTAAATTGAAGGGGATGGATGACAGCACATAAATCTGAACAATGCTAAAGAAAGGAGGGGGATGGGAAGGGAAGATGCAGAAAGGGTAGGGTCATCTATGAGTGTACTACACAAGAGATGAAGATGATGGGAGTAAATGTGTAAGTGAGTCGCCATGTCCATGTAAGGGCGGCACGGAGTGATCTAGCTGCGTTAGAGCTTCTGGCTGTAAGGAAGGGATGGGCAATATACAAAAACAAATGAGCCTACACATGCCCATCTACAGATATAAAGAACAGAACTCTAGCACTCACAATCTCACACACCCTAGCTGCAACTTCTTCAACATGCAAGTATTCCACAATCATTACAGTTTCATTAGAGATTTTCCAATAATCAAACTTTCCAATAGTTAAACTTTTGTCCCTACTAAAAGTAGCCAAGATACATGAAATAATAATAGTAATCATAATAATAATACTACTTATAATAACGATCAAAAGGTTCAAAGCAAAAACAAGGAGACGAGGTTTACGCATTCAAGTTGAAAAACTTCATCGGCAGCCACACAGCCCCATCAAGAGTTAGGGGAGGGGGTTAGAGGTCTTCCTATGTGACTGAAAGACAAAGTTGTATAGGGTGCCCGTTGGCTGGGTCATTCGTTACTTCCTTCTATAGGAAGGGTACTGTCTGAGTGACATCACCCATCTTCCCCACACCGCCCATGGTGCGTGTGATTCGTGGTGAGACTGGGCTTATGTGAAAGATGTGGCTGTGGGGATTCTGCAGCTGAAGTTGTTCCACATTTAAAGAGGGAGTGGGGAAAAGTTGCAGAAAACAATTCATAACTTTTTTTTTTGTCATAGTTTTGGATAAAACCAAATCTAAAGATCCAGCAATTAAAAAGAAACACATCAATATATATTTATAGATAGATATATATATATAGTACAAAAAGCACTTAATTCCCAAACAAGAAGGGAGCAAAGGACAAAAAGTAATCTAAAGAAAAAAATAGTTCACACACTTTCAGAGATGAACAACCAGATGCACACGCTGATGCACAGACAGAGCAGTCAGGGGACACTTTTTTTGTTGTTGCTGTTGCTTTTTATTTTCTGGCTGATTGATTCCCCTTTTGGTTGATAGCCAACATTAAAAACAAATTTTGCATTTTCTTTGAAAAAAAAGTTTGCATTCTCTTTTAATTTTTTTTTGTTTTGCTTTTTTTTAAAAAATAAAAAGGGCGTGCAGTCTGGATGTACGTCCTAAGTAGACATTTGAGAGAGAAAAAAAAGAGGCTAAGACTGACAAATGGGTAATTGTCTTTTATCCTGTCACTGCAGGAATGCTAACCAAGTTAATACATGCTAAAAGTAAGTTGCATTTAGGGAAAATAGAAAAACAGAACAGCAAGCTAGGGTTGGGAAGAGGTCAGCAAGACAAATTTGAGAGTAGGAGAAAGGTATTGGATTTAGTTTCATGCCTTTCCAGTAGGGGCAGAGGGCATCCCAAGACTTCTTGCCAATTGCATTCTTGTAAGCATGTGTGTGGGTATGCGTTCATGTGTTGGGCGTTGAAGTGGAGCCTGTAGAGGCAGCAACTGAGGTAAAAAATACATGTGAGTTCGTGGGTTCTGCTCTAGGAAGCTTAGCCTGGATTCATTCACAGTCTCAGAAGGCACATTTTGTAAGACCTAGAGGGGTCATCATTAACACAGCTCCATGTGCGTGTCCTTGGGCTTAGCCAGATTGACAGGGTACACGTGTGATGATTGTGGTCATCAAATATACCTGATAAATGGAGAGTTTGGAGCTTTTTCTAAGTAACAGGAGCAAACCCCCGCTCTCCAGTCCTCTGCTCGGAAAGAGCACAGTGCCACAGAGTCAGTAAGCTATAGGATCCTCAGGAAATGAAGGTAGCTTATTTGAAGGACATTGGGGGAAACTGTGCCTGTCTCCTAGAGACTGTGTGGGAAACAAAATGCTCCATTCAACCTACAGTGACAGAAAGAGAAGAGAAAAGTGTGTGTGTGTGTATCTGTGAGTGTGTGTGAGAGAGAAGATTGTGCAGAAAGGACCATGGAATAGGAGGTTTTAGAAATGTCCTCAGCCTCTACTGGAAGAGATCACAAGAATCACATTAAATAGTTTATCCCTGTGAAAACATCAATTGTCAACCAAGGACTGGGAAACCCGGGTAGGAGAACCACAGAGGTGAGACACTTGAGAGCACCTGCTTCTGACAGCCAATTCCAACTACTCCTAAGAAGTTTTTTAGGGTGACTTTGACAAATGGAATACATTTGTGAGGAGGAGTCAGACTTTTGTCCCCTATGGGACGCCCCTTTTATTATTTTATTTTAAAACATTATAGTAATGTGTCCCCATGGGTCAGTCCGTACCAAGATTTTTAGTCTCTGGTTTTATGTAAATTGTTATTCTAGGAACTTCACAAAGGACAGCTGGAGGTTTTAGGAGGAGGGAATAAAAATCCCAATAATATAGGAAAAGCAAAACCCTTGTTGCCATTTAGTTAATTTTTTTGAATAATTATACTTTTAATGTTGAATTTTACTGTATGAAAAATCCTATAAATGTTAATATTGCCTCACAAGGCATCAATTAACTTCTGTAGAACAAAGTTTTAATGACATTCATATGGGCTATTTTTTTGTTTCATAGGCAATTTTGTAGGAAACATAAGTGATGTAAGTCTGAGATATGCACAGGTAACATACTCCTGTAAAATGAGAGGTGTTTTGAAGAAGATCCATCAGCAATTTGAGTCTGCTAAGGTTTATACTGAGTAATTTACCTATTTCAAAATTGCCTGTTTTAAAGCTTATATAAGTAGGACATCATTTACTTTCTGGAAATTACTGGTTTAAACAATTGAACATACCAAAATGTATGGTTGTCACTTTGCAAACAAAATAATGTATGTATTTTTTAAACCCATGGAAGCCACAGTTTCAAATGAAGCCAGCACAGTGCTATATCCGTGCATATACATTTTAGAAATCAACCCACAGTTAATACACACAAAGCCTGTCTGATTTCCAACATAAGATATAAAATAGTATTTCTAGTAGCTCATAATCAGGCCACAACTTCCTTTTCATATTTCACTACATATCTACACTAGATCTTTATTACCAATAACTGCATGGTTCTGTGTTTACACCTCTATTGGGTGTTAAGAATGCTTTGGGATTATATTTGCCATTGAGAACAAATAATACAATAAAGTGACTTGCAACAGCATATTTTGATGTGACCATTTTTATCCCACTATGTCCAAATAACTGTCTAAATGCAAAATCAGACTGTTAAGAACATCAAACGCAATAAGATGGAGTTACTCCGAATGCATGTTGGAAAGTGCACTGGTTTTGAAGAAATGCGTTTGTTCTAAGCTGCCTGTGGTTGTACCTGAGAAGCCCAAAGAATACTGAAGGAATTCAAGGTGCAAACCCGCCTCTCTGGCAGAGTGCGTCCTGCTTGATAAGGACCCTGTCTTCCATGTGCACAGGTGAGATCCCAGAGGAAGGTCCAAATAAATTATTTTTCATAACCTCCAAGATGGAAAAGAGCCCAGAACACCATCAAGCCCAATACTCAGAATTGTATTTCTGTATTAATGATCTGCTTGCTCAATTAAGAGCAACTTTTTATACTTAAGAAGAATGATAAGAATGGATAAAACATTACAAAAGGTAGTATTACATTTTCAAACCTGGTAAGATAGGATGTTTACACATAGAAGGATCTTGAATTACTGACTTCTTTCCCTATGTTTACAAAACCGTTAACCTATACCTTCAGGTCTGTCCCCTAATCTCCATTCTTTTGTGAACCTACTGCATTCTATACAGATTTTCATTGACTCCAACACTCCATTTCATTTAATTTGTTTTCTTCTTAGTTTCAGCTAGATTCTAAGAACTTTAGGGTGAGAATATCACATCTTTTTATCTTTATTTTTCCAACTAACCAGAATACTAATAATCATCCAAACATTTTTGAATGAACTAATGAATGAATGAATGAATATCATTAACTGCTTTTTTTTTCACCCTTACACTAGCCTAGAGCTTTCCATAGAGGAATTAAAATCTCATATCAAAAGTGGCTCACCTTGTACCTGAAATCTAGTATATGGGACAGAAGTCTTAGATTCTGGAGACCTGAGTTCCAATCTTGATTGTATTCTCTACTATGCTAGTTTGTTAGGACATGGAAAAAGTCAGTTAATCCCTCTGAGCTTGTTTCTTCCTGTGTAATATGGAGATTATAATGTCTGGTTAATTAACCTACCTCAAAGGGTAGGTTTATTCAACTGAGACTTTGAATGTCAAAGTGCTTATAAATTATAAAGGGCTCTTCAAATGTTTGTTACTATTTTCTTCAAAGTTGACACTATAGCATCAACTGTAAAATGAGGGTTTCATATTCAGAGAAGACTGAGTCCCAGACGATGGATCTCTGTGCTACTCCAAGTGTGATACTTGGGAGTATCTGCTTCAGCATCAAACAAATAACAACTTCAGTCAAAAATCTTAACATAAGTAGTATTATTACTGCGCTGTGCTTAGTCACTCAGTCATGTCCAACTCTGCGACCCCATGGACTGTAGCTCATCAGGCTCCCCTGTCCACGGGATGCTCCAGGCAAGAATACCGCATTGGGTTGCCATTCCCTTCTCCAGGGGATCTTCCCAACCCAGGGATCAAACTTGTGCCTCCTGCCTTGCAGGCAGATTCCTGACCATCTGAACCACCAGGGAAGCCCCTGTTGAACTTCTCTTGAACTCCTGTTCCTACCTCTCCAACAGTGCTGAGTTCTTAAAGCTTGATTAGTTCCTGTTTCAGTGGTGAATTGTTATTCCTGCATATAATTTTATAGTTACTTTGTTTCACTCTTCTGTAGGTTAAAGTTAAGCTCCAAAGAGGTCATATTGAGATATGTTCCCATAGGAACACTTTTTATCAAATCATGTGATTTGAGATGAGTTACTCCTCACCTGGAATCTGGAATTCCAGGAAACCCCTGGAATCTCAGTTTTCTCATTTATAAAATCAGGAAGAAAAGTCCTTTTAGCTCACAAATGTATGTAAATTTAAGTAAAATTACTTTGAAAACTATGCAATATTCGATTCAAATGGAAGAAGATGTTATTCTGTATATCCTAAGAGTTCAATGCCACTTGTCATTACTGAAGAAACCAAAGAGGATGGTGACAAGGGTGGATCTCTCATCAAATTCACTTGGAAAAACATATCCCAACAAGGATATGGGGGATAAGATGAGGATATGAAGGAATGGAGGGTCAAGGTAGCATTTTAGCTCTTCTCTTCCAGAAGAGTTAATATTTGTTAAGATACACAAAAGGGAAAACCCAATTAAGAAATTTCCAGGAATTAATATTTTTATTTTCATTTTGTTTGAATGGTAATCAGATATCA